GTCATTGCCAGATTGAAACTGCTGAGGCGTCCAGCCTAGTGAACTGAGCAACTGCTGGGTTGTCAGGTTCTCCCACACGCAGGTGGACATTGTTGGGCCACCCAGCTCCTGTGCCAGAATTCCTTTTTATCATACATATTCGTTCCAGGGGTTCTGTTGCCCTAAAGATGTCTGCCCTCATACACCGAGGCACTCCAAAGTTAGTAAAATATCGATGCCAGCAGAGATAGTGCGGGAGGGAGAGAGCAAGCTCTAAGACCAGAAAAATCACCCCAGAGTTTACCCTGCCTGTCCCAGAAGCCAGGCTTCCTCCCAGGAACACCACTTGTGGGGTTCCCAGAAAGTCAGACTCCTCAGCATTGCTCATTTCCCATGAGGACAGTGGTAATCATACTAATCAGTGGTAATGAGGCACCATGATTAATCTTGCCTGCTTGATTAGATTGGCAGGTGTCTGGAAGGTTAGGAAAGTGCATCCCCCAGTCTATCCTTGAGGATGCTCAAGGTAGAGCAGGACAGCTCCGACCCAATCAATGGTTTCTTCTAACTATGGATTCAAATTTGAATTCCACATTTATTTATTTGTTTTTCTTGAGATAGGCTTTCTGGTAGCCCAGGCTGGCCTCAAACTGCCTACGTAGTTGAGGATGACTTTGAACTTCTGATCCTCCTGCCTCTACCTCCTGAATGCTGGGATTACAGGTGTGAACCACCAATTCTGGATTTCCCTAAATTTTTGAAAGGACAGACATCCAAACCACAGTGGTCCTTCCCGTTAAATTGAACATTGTTACCCAGTAGTGATGAACTATGGAAGGCTGCCAAGAGCTGGTTCAGAGTCAATATGCTGTGAGTATAGTGCATGCACAGGAATTGGAGACTTAGAAAAATGCTCAAGTATTTATCATCATCACCATCATCATCATCATCACTACTACTACTATCATTATTATTACTACTACTACTACAAGGTCTCCTGTATTCTAGGACGGCTTTGAACTTGCCATACAGCTGAGGCTGACCTTGAACTCCTATCCTCCAACCTCCACCTTCCGAGTTCTGGGACTAACAGGTGTGTGCCACCATACCTGGATTATGTGGCGTTGGAGTTGCAGCCCAGGGTCTCGAGCATGCTAGGTGAGCACTCCGCCAACCGAGCTCTGTCCCCAGTAGACTCAAATGACCCACTAGGAGGAGGTGGAGCTGCGGGAGGCTGGACCCGCTTAGGGGAGTGGGTCACTAGAGTGGGTCCTTGGGGATGGACCTCACCCTCATCCTTTCCTGGATTTCTTTTTCTGTTTCCATTTTTTGAGACAGGGTTTCTCTGTGTAGCCCTGGCAGTCCTGGACTTCACTCTGTACACCAGGCTGGCCTTAAACTCACAGAGATCCCCCTGCCTCTGCCTCCTGAGTGCTGGGATTAAACGCATGTGTCACCACGGCCTGGATCTTTTTCTTTTTTCTTAAAAAAATTTTTTTTTGATAAAGGATCTTGATATTTCAGTTTGATCTCTAACTGACTGTGTGGATGAGAGTGATCACGGACTTCTGATCTTCCTGCCTCCTCCTCACCAGTGCTGGGGGATTACAGGTGAATGCCGTGACTTCTGGTTTCATTCTGTGCCGAGGATCAACCCAGGGCTTTGTGCTAGGCAGGCTCTCTGCCAGCTAAGCTACCCTCATGGCCCCTTTTCTGGATCTTGGCTTGCCGTGATGTGGGCTACCACACCCTTCGTGCCATGAGGGACCCACATCTCTGAACCTAAACAGACCTTTCTTCCTGTGGCTGCTTCTGTCAGGGGCTGTGCTCACAGGGTGAGAAAAGTAACCAGTGTGGGCACTGATAGTCCTGCACCTGTCCTACTATTCTGAGACAGAAAGCCAGGTTCCCTCACTTCTCTCTCTCTCTCTCTCTCTCTCTCTCT